CCCCTGCTCACGATCGGAAAAATGATGAATTGAGAATGTAATGAAAAAGTTAAGGAATTTTCTTAACAATTTGGTTTGCCCCCCCCCCCCGGAAACAAATCATTGCAACACCCATGCAACCAATACGAATTGGCCAAGACATTGTAACTGACAGTTTGTTGGTGTTATTGGGTGGTCGTGATAACGCCCTAACACGGCGGCAGGTTATCGTAGCAGCGGGTTATCGCGTGTCAGACCATAACAACGTCTAGCCCCTAGACTACGGACATTAGAATGCATTGTGGATGAGGCCTGACACTCACACGAAGATGCTTTCGGTTGGTGCATACTAAGAATAAACTTAGTAGTGAATACCTTACTTTGCCATGTGCGCACTGATGAGTACACATCATGTGCTCTTCCATGGGACTTGTGAAAGTATAGTCACAAACACATCTACATGTACTGTTCATGGTTCAATTCTTTTGAGGTATCTAGGGGGATGTGTTAGGTAACAATAGTCTAGGGTTTGCTTATGGGGGAGATTGGGGGGTACCCCTCCGTCCCATATCGTGCTTGGAATATTTTTTAAATTTCACCATTGAAAAATCATACCATTCCACCAGAAATTTATGTTTATTGCAATTACAATAATACAATCCAATAACCAGAAATGTATGTCTATTGCAATTCCAATTATAAAATCAAATAATCTTCCAATTTTAAATCTGTCAAGTAACTCCGTTATACATGTATTAATGTTGGTTATTTTTTGGTTAGATTCGTCAAAAGTTTGCTCGCAAAAAATTACTTAAAAATATCTTTTTGAGGGTGAAAGTCAAAAATATAGCAAGGACAGTACATCCTGCATGTAAATTAGCTCAAGTGGTACAATGGTGACAGTGGAAATGGTGTTTGTGTTCTTGGGCAAGACACTTTTCTACGAGTGCAATTTCCCCTCTCTCTCTCTCCGGTAGTATAAATGGGTACCTGTGAGGGTAGAGACCAGATGCTGATGCACAGCTGCTGCAGAAAAATGATCTCATGGCCTGATGAACCGGGGTAACAGTTGTAAAGCACTTTGAGTCTTCAGTGTAAAGAGTGGCAGGAAAGTATGCAGGCACCACAAACTATGAACAACAGAGTTATCACATATGAACACTGTAAGAAAATCTGGACATTTACATTTATCTACAACAGAGTTTTGGGAAAAGTACTGCCGAGATGTGGCAGTCAGCATTTTACAAATGTACATTGCTTTAAAAGACACCATCTAGCATTCTAATAAGTGACATAGCAAGTTTGTGTTATTAATAGAGGGGTTCCTAAACATTGATATCACTTTGATATCACGTAAATATTGTTCAACTAAAAAAAAACAATTATGTAAAGACCTTACCGTACACATTTATGCAACTCTGTGGAAATGTTGTATGCACTTGTATGCACTTGTGTCCATGAATACACAATTATCGCGTGTTTTTTTTCCATCCATCTTTTACATAATAATAGGCAACTTCGGATTTACTTCGTGTGCACACATCAGATGACAATAATTAGGTTCTGTGGATAAACAAAGCAGATAAATGCACACAAGTCTCTGGGGCTCATGGTAACCGAATCAGCATTTCGCATGTTTGTATCTAGTAAAAAAAAAAGGAAGATAGAAACTTTCGTCAGTAGCGTATTCAGCTTTGGATGTCGGGGGGGGGGGGGCAACCGCACATCCGCGCCCAAATGTAGACATTGTAGACATGTAGACATTTTTTTTTCTCAGTACACTTGGCCTCCGTACAGCAGGGGGGGGGGGAGGGGCTAAATGGGGGCGCTCTTCAAAAATGACCATTATTATAATAATTGACCATTATTGCTTAACACAAATTCTGTTTTACAAAAATCCCCCGGGGGAGGGGCAGACTGCCCCCTCTGCCCCCCATTGGATACGCCACTGGTTAATGGAGCATACATCAACATTTGCATCTACTTCAAAACCAGAACTTTTCTTCGATTTGGTTTGTACATTGTTATGATTTTGCACGCGTGTGGTGAACTGTGTATCCACAGACTGACCCTAATCGTCATCTGATATGCGCACAAGCAGTTGTAACTCCGAAGTGGCTTATATATATATTGTGATAGTGAATTGTGATAGAAGACGATTTCATTGGATATATATATATATATATATATATATATATATATATATATATATATATATATATATATATATATATATATATATATATATATATATATATATATATATATATATATATATATATATATATATATATATATATATATATATATATATATATATATATATATATATATATATATATATATATATATATATATATATATATATCATGCAATAAATTCAGAATACGAGTTAAACAAACTTTGGCATATCTCTCTTCTGAACAGACTGTTTCGTACCATAAGGCACTCATCAGACTGTTTCGTACCATAAGGCACTGATGAGTGCCTTATGGTACGAAACAGTCTGTTCAGAAGAGAGATATGCCAAAGTTTGTTTAACTCGTATTCTGAATTTATTGCATGATTATAGCTCTACAGAGATGTATCGAGCACTGTGAATTGTGATAGAAGACGATTTCATTGGATATATATATATATATATATATATGCAACCATTCGCCAATCAGTTCACATACAGGTTTCAGGTGAAATACGTGCGCTTTGTGTGATAAAATCGAATTTGAATTTAAACATAGCACAACTTGTTCATCTAAATTATTTAAACATGCATGCCAATTGGTTTGTGCATATTTATGAATGCACATGCATACATGTATGTGCATATAGGTCACCACAGGAATGTGAAGACATTTCTTGCAATTTTCATATGAACGACGATTATTTCAGTGGTGTCAGGGTACTTCACTCTAACCCTTACTCACTCTGAAAACATTTTTGCTAGAATGCAACCTCAATCCTGCAAAATCCTCCAACTGCCTCCATGTTAAATTTACGTACAACCTCAATCCAGCAAAAGCATCTGTTAATTCTTGAATGTGGTCCTTGGAGGGGTGAGCACTGCCTCATATCAACAAACATCTTTATCCCTTAACAATTCGTAAAAGAGCCATTTTCCCTTGAAATTACAGTTAACTAAATTTTCACGGATTTTTCAACATATTAAGCCAGATTAGCAGTCCGTGAAAACACCCTTAAGAAAGTCCTTTGTTTGCCCATGGAGATAGACCCAGTGTAGCGTTATGTATAATCAATAATAATCCTCAGTGGCCAGGGTCATTAAAAAACGTGAAAATACCCTTACAGAATTAGTCCTATATAAGGTCCATGTAAATGTCCGTGTAACATCACTTACAGATTCTTTTCACTGAGAAATGGACTTTTAATGACAATCTAAGGGATCAGATGTTCATAGTGATAGCTCATTTACATATTTCTCCTGCGCAGCGCCCTCGCTTGACCCTTAAGGTAAAGCTCACACTTATCCTTTGTCTTGAGTGAGTCATTCCACCACTAGCTCTGTCACTGTTAACACCACACAGCTAGTGTCCTGCTTCCTTCTACACATGTACTTTAGTTAATGCCTCAAGATTTTGTGGATGACTCGACTGGGGTAAGAATTCATTTATATTGTTTTAATAGTTGTCTTATTGTTAAAGTTCCTAAGTTTCTTATTATTGAGACTTTGTGAACACTTTTTGATTAATTCTGAAGTTAGCTTGAGTATTCTTAAACTTTACTCTGATTACTGAATTGAAAGTGGATTCATTCATTGATGGTCTTTAGGAAGCCCAGATTCACTGTGTTGTTGTATTTATAATTGCATATTTAGGAAAGATCATCCTTTTGATGACTTTCTGTGTTTAGAAATATAATCTATTTCCATGGATTTGAAGGATTTAGATTTCCCTTACTTTGCCTTACATGTACATGTATATCCACTTTATTTCTTGTTCACATTTAGTTAACTTCTTGAGTACACAAAGTTCAAGAATAGATTTCCTTATTTTACTATATATTCCTCATCATCTATTTTCCACTTTTTTTATGTACGTATTCTTAGATTGATACTTTAGTGTATAAATTCATAGTTCCTTTGTCCTGTGTAGATGCCCATAGTGCAGTGTAGTATAGCCACTGTTTAGACCCTTAATCCCCTAAGTTGCTGCATATATAATGAGGTGCACACAGTTTCTTGGAAGGCACCATACCTTAGTACAGGGAGGCAGGAAGTCTGCCAAGTATGTTTATTACCCTGCAGAGATTTCTTTTGTCCAGTGTTTATTGGAGCGTGTGACCTAAGATACCAGTAGTGTCTTATTAGACTGGCACACTAGTCCTTAAGTTTATGTGATGCAGCATATATTACTCATATTTCTCTTTTTACACTTAATTAAGCATGCCATCTGCATATTTGTTTAGCATTTATTTAGTTATGTTATTTCTCCATAGTCCTTTTTGTGATATTAATTCATTTTTCCTAAGTTAGTTTCTTTATGGATCCTTAGGTTATAATGATGAGTGGACTGATTTAAGTCTATGGTTTGCTGAGTCCATAGTCATATATTTAGAGGTCATTGCACATGTGCTTTAGTTATTTCCTATTTTGTCTTTGCAAGTTAAAGCATTCACATGCCTTGTATTAATTCATTTTGGAATTTAACTTGACTTTACGGTTAGAAGCAAATTGTGTTATCGAGTTCGATTTATCTCTTTTGATTGCATTAGATTCTCTGAGGATTATTATTGTTCTTTTTATAATTTACTTTGCTGGATTGGTATTTCCTAAAGCATTGTATTTATATGGAATTTCTATTTTGTATCTTTTCAGGGTTTGTTTTGTTTGTGTGAGATGCAGTTCACCATTAAATGAACCAGACACAGTAAATGTACACCATCCTTGTCGTGTCACATTTTCCAGTGTCACATTTGGCGTCGTAGACAGGATGGTGTACTAATACTGCATCTACCCCCAGTCGAGGATGAGGCGAATCTAACGGCAGACAACTGACCCTGATGAGGCGAAACTAACGGCAGACAACTGACCCTGAGACGAGCTGCTACATCTATCAAGAATGGAGGGAATGGAGCAACTGCGGGCCGAGCTTGAGGCGATGAAGGTAGCTCTTCAGGCGGAGAAGGAGGAGCGCGAGAAGGCCACAGCAGGCGTCAGCTCCACTACCCCACCAGCGAAGCAGATATACGTAGCGGCAGGGAGACGGCTGGAACGCTTCAGGGGAAAGACGGAGAAACCGAGTGATCCATCCGTCCAAGAGTGGGTCAGTGACGTCAAAGGGCAGTTGACGGCTCGACAGATAGGAGAGGAGGATGGCGCTGCGTTCATCATCGACCATCTCGCCGGCAGAGCTAGGCAAGAAATCCTTGGCAGAGGTGACACCGTAAAGAGTCCAGAGGAAATCTACTGTGTATTGCTGAAAGTCTTTGGTGATGGTGAGACGCTTCCCCAGATCCAGCAGACGTTTTTCTCCTTCCGACAAGGCCAAGGAGAAGATCTACTGAGTTTCTCCCTCGAGCTCATGGAATTGTTTAATTCCATGGGTCGTTTGGATGTCTCCTTCAATGTGACGAGAGATAAAACACTGAAGGGAAGGCTAGCCGAGGCAGTTTATGATGAGGGTCTACGGAGAGAACTGCGGCGCATGAATATTGTTTCGCCAGAGCTGAGTTTCTTCGATGCCAGAGACCGTGCCATCGAGTGGCTTGGCACCAGCCGTGTCAAAACCCAGAAGGCAGTAGCAGTACAGGAGGTCAAGGCTGAAGATGGGGCACATGGCATGAAGGCACGTCTTGAGAGGCAGGGTGAACAACTGAAGCGGCAACAGCAGCAGATTGAGGCACTCTTACAGGCCATGCAGCGACCTGCTCGCCGTTGGAGTCAGGGTCCTAGACGTTGCTACAATTGCCAGTCCACAGGTCATCTCAAGCGAGACTGTCCCCATCCCCCGTCATCCCCGTCGTCAGGAGGAACGAGTCAGGGTACCAGGGATCCCCAGCAGTTTGTCCCCCAGCAGTCTATGGCACAGCACTTTGTCCCCAGCAGTCCGCGGCCCAACAGTTCATTCCTCAGCAGTCCCCAGTACAGCAGTTTGTCCCCCAGCAGTCCCCAGTACGGCAGTTTGTTCCCCAGCAGTCCCCAGCACAGCAGTTCATTCCCCAGAAGCCTGGCCCTCAGTTAAACTTGAACGGCCTGTCATTGAGAGCCACACGACAGGCCCACAAGAATCAACTAATAGCGGCTCAATCTACAGAAAAGCGGTAGGGCAGTGTCCAGAATCTGTCGTCCAGCTTGGTGCATCAAGGGTGCGTTGTCTACTTGACACAGGAGCGCAAGTTTCAACGATTACTGAATCTTTATTCAGAGAACACTTTCCTGAGACAGAATGAGTAGATGTGACTGCGTTCATCAGCATCTCCGGTGCTCAAGGTCTGGCCATTCCCTACCTCGGCTATGTTGAATTGCCACTAACAGTGCTGGGCCACTCTTTCATCAACATGGGTTTTCTGGTGGTCAAGGACCCTACAGGCACATCAATTGCAGAGAGGAAGAAGAGATTACCAGGAGTGATTGGGTCAAACATCTTCAGGGACATCCGAGAGAAGTTACGGCAAGATGCAAGCGGCCAAAACTACCTGGAGATGTTGAACAGACGAAGTGACGGACCTGAATGGGCTCATGTACTCACTCTCTATGAGGAAGTGCGAAGTGGCACTGTACATCAGTCAGATATTGCAGGTAAAGTCCGAACAGTGGGTTCCAAGCCCATCCTAGTCCCCGCCAACTCTCTCCTTCTGATGGAATGTTCAGTGAAACCTGCTGCAACTGATGTGACTTACGAGGCCATAATAGAACAGCTGGATGTAGATGTGACCCACATACCAAATGGGTTAGCTGTAGCTCCTAGACTAGTCTCCGTCGACAGCAGTGGTAGAATACCAGTTCAAGTTGCTAACTTTACGAATGATGACCTCTATTTACCCCCGAGAACCCCAGTAGCCACAGTGAGCAGTGCGGTCGCCGAACAGCACAGCAGAGCTTTTGAAGCAACTTGGCAGGAAATGCAGGCAGGTGAAGTTAAAAACGACTGCGCTGATGAAGCCAGGAGCCTGATGTCACGGATGAAAGTCGGTACTGGGCTAAGTGACGATCAGCAACATCAAATCCACCAACTAATTTCCAGCCATGCAAGCACATTTAGCAGAGATGAAGACGACATCGGACTCTGTGACAAAATACCTCATGCTATCAACACTACTGACGATGTTCCAGTTGAGTACCTCACCGGCGCATACCTCCTCACCTATGGGCTGAAGTTCGAGAATACCTGCAGAAATCTCTCGAAAGGGGCGTGATCAGGGAGTCGTCTAGTCCGTATGCTTCACCGATCGTACTCGTGAGGAAGCGAGATGGAAAGCTGAGGCTTTGTGTTGATTACAGGGCCCTGAATGCCAAGACTCACAGAGATGCCTATCCACTTCCCCGCCCTCGATGCACTTGGTGGAGCGAAGTTCTTTTGCAGCCTAGATCTCGCCCATGGGTTCCATCAAATTCCCGTTGCTGCAAAAGATGTTGAGAAGACAGCATTCCGAGTAGGGACTGGAGGCCTGTACGAGTTCACCCGTATGCCCTTCGGCCTCTGCAATGCGCCAGCAACATTCATGCGCTTGATGGACAAAGCATTCGGTGACAAAAACTTCCAGTCTCTCATCGTCTACTTAGATGACATCTTAGTCTTTGGTCGTACCTTCGAGGAGACGCTTGAACGACTACGGTTAGTGCTGGACCGCCTCACTGAATTTGGCTTGAAGGTTAAACCAGAGAAGTGCAATCTGTTCACGGAACAATTGAGGTACTTGGGCCATTTCATATCTGATGGAGGGATATCTCCAGATCCTGAGAAGATAAGCGCGGTGAGAGAATGGAAGAAGCCAGCCACAGAACGTGAACTCCGCGGGTTTCTTGGTCTAGCTGGGTACTACCGCCGTTTCGTACCGGGGTTTGCTAAAGTCGCGGCTCCACTCCACGCACTCTTAGGAGGAACAGGGATGAAGAAGCACAGAAAGTTCAGTCCCATCAAACCCATATCAGATGCATGGGATGAGTCTTGTGACAAGTCGTTCACTTACTTGAAGCAACTTCTGACGACTGCTCCTCTCCTAGGCTACCCCGATTTCTCTCGTCAATTCATCCTGGAGGTTGATGCTAGCTACCAAGGTCTGGGTGCAGTGTTGTCCCAACAACAAGAGCAAGGTTTGGTAGTCCTGGGTTACGCAAGTAGAGGCTTGAGAGAGAATGAAAGGAACATGCAGAACTATACACTGATAATAACCCCCTCAGCTATCTTCAGACGAACACGAAGTTGGAAGCGACAGAGACCAGATGGGCTGGAGAGTTGGAACAATTCCAGTTCACTATCAAGTATAGATCAGGAAGGAGTAACAGCAATGCCGATGCCCTCAGCAGGAAAACCACTCACAGTGAAGATCTGCAAACTGCCCACTCTGAAGAGATGTCCACTGAAGAGACCATTTCTTCATCTTATTCTTCCACTCCCATCCCCTCCACAGTTGTTTCGCAAGTAAGAGGCACCCTGGTTGAAGCTGGACTAAATGAACTCCGCATCAGACCAGATGTGACAGCACCCGCTGCGATGTCAACCCTTCCCTCCATCTCTACTGAAGACATGGCTACACTCCAACGGAACGACAAACACCTAGGCAGATTGTGGACTTACTGGGAGAGTGGACGACAACCACACATCAGTAAGCTCATGAAGGAGGACAAGCCAACGCGGAAGTTGCTGAAGTTCTGGAACCACCTGGAGGCCAGAGACAACATTCTCTACAAGAAAAGAAAAGAAGCGAGTGGCGAGATCAGTCAACTTCTACTTCCTCAAGTTCTACGAGAGCAGTTGTTAGCCGCAGTCCATGATCAGGTTGGACATCAAGGAGTAGAAAGTACCCTTGCACTCGCCCGTAGCAGATGTTTCTGGCCAGGGATGATACACGACATCGAAGAGTACTGCCGGAATTGTCAGAGGTGTATGTTAGCCAAAGCTGGGAAGAAGCTCCATCCTACCATGGGTTCCTTAATCGCCAAAAGACCCCTCGAAGTTCTCGCCATAGACTTCACCGTCCTGGAGCCTGGCACAAACAATGTGGAAAACGTGCTGGTTCTCACCGATGTCTTTACAAAGTTTACACAAGCCATACCATGCAAAGACCAAAAGGCAAGAACGGTGGCTCGATGCTTAGTGAGAGACTGGTTCGTCCGTTTTGGTGTGCCTCGCAGACTTCACAGTGACCAGGGCAGGAACTTCGAAAGCAAAGTCATCCGGGAACTCTGTGAGATGTACGGTGTCACCAAGAGCCGAACAACGCCTTACCACCCCGAAGGAAATGGGCAGTGCGAGCGTTTTAATCGGACCATGTACGATCGCTTACGCACGCTGCCCCGGACCAGAAGCGCAGATGGCCAGAACATCTCCCAGAGCTGATCTTCGCATACAACGCGACACCCCACTCCTCAACAGGTTACTCCCCCTACTATCTCTTCTTCGGCCGGGAACCGAGATTACCCGTAGACCACCTTCTTGGGTTCGGAAGAGAGGAAGACGACGATCCTGAGCTCGAGCAGTGGATTGCTGACCATCACAAACGAATGAGGTTAGCATTCGAGTTGGCTGCAGAAAAAACAGAGAAGGAGGCTCTCAGAAGACAGCAACGCCACAATGAGGCAGCGAGAGATGAGGATCTCCATGTTGGAGCAAGGGTCTTTCTCCGTAATAGAGCAATCAAGGGCAGACACAAGATCCAAGATGTCTGGGGAGACATACCCCACAAAGTCATACACAGGCCCAACCCCACAGGGCATGTATATGTGGTAGCTCCACTTGACAGAGATGGGCAAGAGAAGACGGTCAACAGACGGGACCTGCTGGATGGTCGGGCCATGGTGCAGGATGTTGCACCCATTGCAGATTGTCACCCGACAAAAGATGATGTACCTAGTTCATCAGTTCACACTGATGCAGAAGAGGAAGACGACGAACACCTTATCATAGTGACACATCCGGAGGAGGCCCCAGGGACACCAGCCATCATCAAGAGCAAAGAGCCAGAGAGAGGACCCACTGCTTTTTACAAAGCAGGGGAGCACCACCCTGAGGACCAGGCCCCTCAATCTTCTTCAAATGTGCAAGATCAAGATAGAGCACCCGCTGTTTTACACAAAGCAGGGGAGCACCACCCTGATGATCTAGCCCCGCAACCCCCATCAGAAGTGGAAGATTCTTCACCGGAACCCACTACAGAGGAGGAGGTCCCACTTGCCAAAGCGGAACAGTCGCGCCACACCAGCCGTGCTGGAGCGGGACAACACTCCAATCCCCATCACCTCCCGAAGTCCGTCATCCAGTCGGAGACTCCAGCAATACCTGTCCCTGCACCTGCAATAGACCCACGTGTACTGGCGGACATCAGCCGAACGCAGCTGCTATTAGCGCAGATGTTGGCCGGAGTCCAGCCAAGATGATTTTTTTTGTAAATAGTTAATTGTACTTTGTTACCTTGTATTAATCTTGTATCGGTTTAGGTTGTCCGGACGCCAACCTTAGAGCAGGGGAGTATGTGACAGCTCATTTACATATTTCTCCTGCGCAGCGCCCTCGCTTGACCCTTAAGGTAAAGCTCACACTTATCCTTTGTCTTGAGTGAGTCATTCCACCACTAGCTCTGTCACTGTTAACACCACACAGCTAGTGTCCTGCTTCCTTCTACACATGTACTTTAATTAATGCCTCAAGATTTTGTGGATGACTCGACTGGGGTAAGAATTCATTAGCTGTTTCGGTGACACACCGAAACAGCTGTTGTTTTCGTTAAGATTTTGTTTTTCTTTTTTTTTCTTTTTTTTCAGACTTTTTCTCCATAGGTTTAACACACGTTTCTTCAGCCAGTCCACTTTGCCACTTTTTAAATCCGATCGATTTCAGACTTGGTACATACTTAGACCACCACCCACAGATGGTCCTAGAGGAAATTTGTGACCGTGACGTCATCAGGTGTCGGGTTACGTCACATTATAGATGCATTTTTCCCCATATGTTTTGTACACGTTTTAAAAGACTCCACTTTGGCCTCTTCGTCAATCCGATCGACCTCAGACTTGATACATACTTAGACCACCACCCACAGATGGTTGTAGAAGAAATTCGTGACCGTGACATCCTCAGGTGTCAGGTTACGTCACATTTAAGATGCATTTTCCCCATAGGGTTTGTACACGTTTTCATAAAACACTCCACTTTGGCACTTTCATAAATTCGATGGACTTTACACTTGGCACACACTTAGACCATCACCCACAGATGGTCCTAGAACAAATTTGTGATCGTGACGTCATCAGGTGTTGGTTTACGTCACATTAAAGATGCATTTTTCCCCGTAGGGTTTGTACACGTTTTAAAACATTCTACTTTGGCACTTTGGTAAATCCGATCGACATTAGACTTGACACACTTAGACTACCACCCACAGATGGTCCTAGAAAAAAATCGTGATCGTGACATCATCAGGTGTAAGGTTACTTCACATTAAAGATGCATTTTCCCCATAGGTTTTGTACACGTTTTTCTTCAAACCATGTACTTTGGCACTGTATGTCTGATTGACTTTTCACTTGGCAGATGACATTCGAAGTGACTTCATCAAGTGTTCATCACGTGCACAGAGTATTTCAAATATCCGAAACAGCTTGTGTTTGTCCACAAACACATTTCTACTTTATATTGTTTTAATAGTTGTCTTTTTGTTAAAGTTCCTAAGTTTCTTATTATTGAGACTTTTTGAACACTTTTTGATTAATTCTGAAGTTAGCTTGAGTATTCTTAAACTTTACTCTGATTACTGAATTGAAAGTGGATTCATTCATTGATGGTCTTTAGGAAGCCCAGATTCACTGTGTTGTTGTATTTATAATTGCATATTTAGGAAAGATCATCCTTTTGATGACTTTCTGTGTTTAGAGATATAAATATTTCCATGGATTTGAAGGATTTAGATTTCCCTTACTTTGCCTTACATGTACATGTATATCCACTTTATTTCTTGTTCACATTTAGTTAACTTCTTGAGTACACAAAGTTCAAGAATAGATTTCCTTATTTTACTATATATTCCTCATCATCTATTTTCCACTTTTTTATGTACGTATTCTTAGATTTATACTTTAGTGTATAAATTCATAGTTCCTTTGTCCTGTGTAGATGCCCATAGTGCAGTGTAGTATAGCCACTGTTTAGACCCTTAATCCCCTAAGTTGCTGCATATATAATGAGGTGCACACAGTTTCTTGGAAGGCACTATACCTTAGTACAGGGAGGCAGGAAGTCTGCCAAGTATGTTTATTACCCTGCAGAGATTTCTTTTGTCCAGTGTTTATTGGAGCGTGTGAACTAAGATACCAGTAGTGTCTTATTAGACTGGCACACTAGTCCTTAAGTTTATGTGATGCAGCATATATTACTCATATTTCTCTTTTTACATTTAATTAAGCATGCCATCTGCATATTTGTTTAGCATTTATTTAGTTATGTTATTTCTCCATAGTCCTTTTTGTGATATTAATTCATTTTTCCTAAGTTAGTTTCTTTATGGATCCTTAGGTTATAATGATGAGTGGACTGATTTAAGTCTATGGTTTGCTGAGTCCATAGTCATATATTTAGAGGTCATTGCACATGTGCTTTAGTTATTTCCTATTTTGTCTTTGCAAGTTAAAGCATTCACATGCCTTGTATTAATTCATTTTGGAATTTAACTTGACTTTACGGTTAGAAGCAAATTGTGTTATCGAGTTCGATTTATCTCTTTTGATTGCATTAGATTCTCTGAGGATTATTATTGTTCTTTTTATAATTTACTTTGCTGGATTGGTATTTCCTAAAGCATTGTATTTATATGGAATTTCTATTTTGTATCTTTTCAGGGTTTGTTTTGTTTGTGTAAGATGCAGTTCACCATTAAATGAACCAGACACAGTAAATGTACACCATCCTTGTCGTGTCACATTTTCCAGTGTCACAATAGTATCAGGGGGTACTTCTTGTCGACAAAAGTCGTCCATGGTAAGGAAAGGGTTAACAAAATTCCGCCCCCCCCCATGACCTCGGCCATCGAGTGACGAAAAATTATGAAACTCGGTACATGCATAGAACAACTTAACATGAACAAACCCAATAAATTTCATAACTATAGGTCAAAGGGTTTTGGAATTACGGCTAATTAATTATTCATAAGCACGTATGGTAATTCAAATGTATACACTACGTATATGGGGAATTTCAGTTTTGACGGAGGGTAGCGCCGAAAATATTTCGCTGCGCGGCAACCTGTGGTTCGAATTTTATGTTTTTGGTATCAAAAGATGTGCAAGACTCGAGGCTAAAAAGTCAGGACAGCTCAGGCTGCGAAATAAATAACTTTTTTAAGAGTATCGCGGAAAAAGTAGAAAGGGCGAAAATCCACCCCCTTTTAGGGCCAAAATATGACCAACCCTTTAGTGCCTGGCATCTAAATATGAAATGTTGTAAAGTGTCCTCTGCAGTACCGCACTCACACAGGGTGTTTGTCGGTTGAGGAAAATCCCCACTTCTTCATGGTGCTTTTGGTGCGAGCCACTCCAGAGAGGAGGTGATTTAAGCACCTCCAGGTCTTAATTCCATCCTAATGCCACCGCCACAATCCACAACACAGCCCAAGCCACGCGTAATTATCGGGGATTTAATAGCCACAGCAGCATCATTGGCTATCATTCCATCACAGACGTCGGCGCTTTTAAATCGCTGGCCGAAGCAAGTCAACTGAGCCTTATTCACAAATGACAATGCGAAACTGTCGAAGTTTTTCCACAGTGGAGGCTGGAGATAAAGTTTCAACCCTGCTCCAGCCCTTGTGAGCCAAAACATCGCCTCACTTAGCAACAAGATGGTCCTTGACCCCATTCCAGAGACCTGACATCGCCCTATTGGAATCAAAGTGACTGCTGCTGTCTCTTCGCAATAATTCCATTCCACCACTGTTTCAACTTAGTAAGGCCAACTGTGAAGGCTTCACCAATGAGCTCAAACACCATCTAGCTGACATTGATCCAACCCCTGATAACTATGACACCGGTTTGTTGATGTGGTGGTGCAAGAACATCCCTACGGGCTGCCGCACTGATTACAACCCAGGCTTAGCGTCCCGTAGTTGCTGAACTTTACAGGAAATAGAAACGCATGTATGAAAACGACTTTCTTGCTGTCGATTCCATCTCATCTGGGGAGGAATTAATAACAGCCATATCAGAACAGCTTCAAAGCTTGTGGCAAACCCTTGTGGTAACAACCAATATGGCCAAGAAGCCAATATGGCCTCCAAGCCTGGAGTATAATATAAAAAAAGCTCAGCCAAGTGAATAGCATTGTAACATCACCGCCAACCAAATAACCCACAACAACTGCTATTTAAATGGTAAAGTGCCACGTTCTCCTAATAAGCGACCGAAACACAAGCTCCGCCAGAAACACCCCGCCATCGACCTAATTGGCTTCATCAAATCCTTCTCTGCTAATGAACTTGCGACTGGCATAAATAAAGAACAGGAAATCAACCAAACTGGATAACATTTTCACCAAAGAACTGAAACATCTTGGACCAAACGCCTCAAATTGGTTACTCCAGCTCATCAACACCTGCCTCGCCACACAAACAATACCTAAAGTGTGGCAAAAGTCGAAGGTCATCGCCCTCCTAAAACCAGGGGTGTGAGTGACCACTGATAAAAAATAGCTGAAAACAGCTAAAAAAAGGTGTAAAAAAGCTGAACTTTGGTATTCTCCTATACTTTTGTACACAGCAAGCGAGGGCAAAAAGCTGAAATCCAAAACAACAAAGCTGAAATCAGCTTTAAAGCGGACATTTCACACCCCTGTAAAACCCGGGAAAGACCCAATGCATGTCAAAACTTATCGTCCCAAATCCCTTCTAAGTCACACATTCAAGTTGCTGGAATATATCCTCCTCAACCTTCTTGCCTCTTCATTGAGAAACAACTGATACAGGAACAGGCAGGCAGGCTTCCGTCCCGGTAAATCGACAACGGGACAGCTTCTAAACCTCACTCAGTACATTAAGGATTGCTTACATCAGAAAAAAATAGATCACCGGCGCTGTCTTTGTTGATCTTACAGCTGCTTTTGACAGTGTTAACCGTTGCTGACTCCTTCAGAAGATCATGGACATGACGGCAGACCTGACCCTTACCCAGTTTATTGGTGTCTACTGAAGAACCATCGTTTCTTTGTAGTATTCAATGGCAGAGTAGAGTACGTCTTCAAAGGAACGGTCCCCCAAGGGAAGACGTTGACCGATGCTCTTGACCAGTCACAGCAGTGCTACACCGTGAGTCACCTGAAAGCGATCAACCCTGCTATTAAGTAAGACCCCAGTGTGTGCCTCCTGGGTTGACCAGGGTGGTGTCGTCTCCCCCCACTACATGAAATGCCAAAAAAAAAAACTTTGACCCATAGTCATGAAATTTCGTGGGTTTGTTCATGTTATGTTGTTCTATGCATGTACCGAGTTTCATAATTTTTCGTCACTCGATGGCCGAGGTCATGGGGGGGGGCGGAATCTGCGTGAGATGGTCAAAACAACCCGGCCCTTTTCGGGCAAAAGTGACATTTTCCCATGTTTTCTTCAGCAAAACCCATAAATACATTAATAATAACATTTATTATAATGGAGAAACACTCAACCAATTATAATATGTGCTCACTTGCCTCGAAAATCTTTGCAAACCCTTCCGAAAGGCAAATTTTAGGTGAAAATGACCCATGAACTTTGACCTCAGGTCAAGGTCACTAAAGGTCAATGGAAAATGGCCTGCAGGATGACAGTACTATATTTGCTAGCAGAGCATCCATGTGGGGGGGGGGGGGTCGTGTGGGAAACAGTATGAAAGTTTTGACACGAATTGAATCCATCCGTGTACTCTGTGCGATTATACAAAATTTATTAAAAAAGCCTTTTTATTGAAGAAATTAAGATCAGTGTCAGTACGTGAAACCAAAACGGACGGGGTGCGCTTCGAAAGTGCCTTACTGTGGAGGATGTCAGTTCGTGAAACCCAAGATAACCCAGTTCTGTAAATTCGCGTGCGTGCAGTGCACTCACGCGCACAAGAGAGTCAGTTCGTCACGGTGTCGATGACGAGCTGATCCAATGACTGATACGCAAACGAACAAATTCATGCACAAACAGCCGGTGTAAATGTTGTTTTATCCTCGTCCAGTATATTTAAATTATTTAACTGTTGCGCAGCTACGCCAAATTACGTGAAACGGCGATCGTAAGTTTATTGCGCAGCTGCGTAATACATTTGTTGCGTAAGTCTTACGCATGGTGCAAGCTGCGCACTTTTTTGTGAAAAAAATATGTAGCGCCACAAATAATAATGACTGGAAAGCCATTGTCATTTGTTACTTTTAGAGGGAAAAAAAATACTGAAATTGCTCAATCCGTTCAAAGTTTATCACTATTTATACACAATGACCCTAAACCCTCTTTTGTCCAAAAATGCAATTTCAAGAATCGTCGTCAGAATTGTCTTCAAACTTCACCAGCGACAAAACCTCAGTTTAAAAGTTAAAAATATTCAATAAAGTCCCTTTGAAGGACTGTCTTTAAAAAAGAAAGTGGATTTTATGAATCATACAGTTTGTCGAACCACGGTTGTTAATAAAGATATTGTGTACTACAGTTGTTGACAGTTGTTGGAACTAGAATTCTGTGTCATTTTCTTCGTTGTTCAAAACAGTCAGGATACACAATAAACTCTTTTTTTTATTTGACGAAACAGGTTTTAGGGTCATTGCCTTTAAATGGTTATATTCTTTGAACGGAGTGAGCAATTTTAGGATTTTTTGTCATCTGAAAGTAGTTTATGAAATCGGCTTTCCAGCCATTATTATGTTTGGTGCTACGTATTTTTTAAATATGAAATACATTTCAGGGGGTTGAGTTCAGCTTTTTTGACTCACCCTGAAAATGTATTGTTCCCTTTAAGCATCCTTTGGTGATTAAGGGCTATATAAATCTAGTTATTATTATTTTAATTATTACAACGCTAAAGGATCTTTGCTGAACCGACTTTCAGGTCAGCTTTACCATTAACCAGCACTGAGGTTTCGGCATCGATGACGGCGAGTTTTTTCACTGACATGAAGTTTAGAATATCTCCTTCTGTTATTATTAAACATTTCAACCATACTGAGCATATTTTCTGAGAAACACAACGCTCAAAAGGCCATTTTTTTTGGGGGGGGGGGCGAATACATTTCACTGCTCTGTTAAAGCGTCTACGTACGTAATCGGATTAACTTTGCTTATCAACTGAAGGACCACGCTTCGGCTTCACAACCACATGGCTGTTGTATAGGGCTTGTACGTCGCGCTAACTGGGGTTGCCGATTGTTCCGCGGTGTTGCTCTGGCCCTGCACGCCGCGCCCTGTCTACACGATCACACACCGTGTCCCAATACCGCACCGGCTGCAGCTAGCCAAGGGCACAGTGCGGCGGCAGGGATTCCACCGGCAACCCGAGGCAGAATTGAACGCAAAGCAAACATTCTAGGCAATTGGAACACGGCAATACTATCAGTCGCAGGGGCAGTGGCCGCGGGTGGCATGATGTAACCAATAATTCCATGTCCATACCGGGCAGCCCATGAACGTGAAGGGTTTGCTTCCATACGCAAACGGAATTGCTCATCGTAATCGCGCTAGCCTTGGCCAGGGAAGTGTACGGCCGCGATGCGAACTGTTTCAGCATATTTCAGTAATTCTAGGAAACGGCCTTATTTGATGACGGTTGAGTAAATTGCCATGAACACATGGAACACACTCAACCATTTATCAGTGTAATCGAGTATATGCGTACGTGTGACGTGAGCAGTCGCCGGCCGATAAACTACCATGCCCTGCTCGACTGCCATGGTCAACTCTG